CCTTGCGTTAAAAGCGCAGGAAATGGAAGAGAAGGACGTTGCGTGAGTGTGTTAACTGGGGGTAAAAAACCTCGCCGCTGATCTTCTCTGCCTGCAGGTTCACAAATTATTTCGTCGAGGGCAACCACGTCAAACCATTTGATAAAACCAAGATGTTCACGAAGGACCCCGAGCATATACAGGATTCCAAAATGGTTCCAAAGATGTTCGAATCAATTGTGACCGGTGGTGGGAAGGGCACAAAGTTTCATGCCTTTTGTCCCACTGTGGAACAGGAACCGGATTGCGAACTTGAGGAAGCGACGTGAGTGGCAGCTACTTTCGTTTTATATATCATTCCCATCGGTACTCAAATCATTGCTCCGTTATTAGGTTCGCATTTGTAGACTCACGTCTACCCACTGCTGAACCTAAAATTGCCTTTTGCCCTAGCTTTTTCGAAAACGACCCGGAAACTAAGGATGACCTGGATTCCAAAAAATTCACGGCCAATCTTGATCACTGGTGTAAACAGGCTGATCATGTTTTTGGCGATATGATTACAGCAGGCCATACGGTGCTACACGAAGTCACTCACCTTGCGTTTATCCTCCGTCATGCAGTCGAAGCAGCAGTAGATGGGTTATCCAAAGAAGTAGCTGAACAGATGGCGTCAGTCTCCAAGTTTTTCTAATTGCCTCCTCAACTTACTGTTCTACAATAGCGGTACTTTGGATATCTACGGCTCACCAGATGAGAAAGATGGGAACGAGGCAACATATGGCTGGCACGCCGCTTCTGCTTCACGGGCTTTGAAACGACGCTGGGTGGCCTATCTCGCTCATTCCAAACGCAGCATCAAAAAGAGGGAGACCCTCAAACCACCTCCTCACGGGTCGATAGATGATGCAGAAAGCTATGCTGCAGCTGCCACTGGTCAGAAACATTGTTCCATGACAATGACAATATTGTCATGTACAGCCATACTAACACCGTTTTTTTTCAGAATATTACTTTTGGAAACTTTGTGGTAATAGTTTCGACCCGAAGCGGGTTTTAGCGAAGGCTGCGTGACTTCTGACGGCTTGCCAGAGAGGGAGATGAGGAATGTCAAGCTGAGGTGCGAGCTGGTAGCTGTAGGATTGTAGAGCGACGTCGATCTTGTACTTACTCTGATCAAAGGAGACTATTTGTGCTTTTCCTGACGGCCCCAGTGAACTTGTTGAACTTTCAATGAGATTAATTGAGAATACGAAGAAACACGCTCATACCTTGATGTACCACCACGAGCTCGTGTCCAATTCTCGTCCCAAGCGTCGAGTTCAGGACATAAAGAAACTTTTTTCTGTGGACCGATTGCTCCAATACTGAAACCGAAATATACCCTAGATCACTATAGCCGTCGTTTCGTTATTCATGCTGTTTTCACAAATAAGGTAAGTACTTTGGTAAGTACTCTAAATCCTTCTTATGAATTGTGGGTTCGATCCGTCGGTCGTGAGGTACATGGAGGATGATATATTCATATTTTCTTTGGATGGATTGTCTTGACAGTTTGACTGTCTCCAATAAAATGAATTCATTATCTACTATTACACATTCCAACCCAACCGATGTATACTTATCAGGACTGAGAGAATACCTGTCAGCAAAAGACTCTCTACCCTTCTCAGTCAACGCGGGACATCCACAGTCCTTCCTTCTCTCGCACTCTGCTTCGCAAGCTCAATCATCTCAATAACCGCAGTCGCCTTCTTCCCATTTAACCGCCATCTCGCCTCCCTCCCTTATCACAGCCGCCAAATTCCGATACAAATCCGTATAACACCCTGGCTCAGTTGAAGGCCAGACTGGATGTCACAATAGCAGACCCATTAGGATCACTAGCATGCTGTAGCGTACCCCAACACTCCTCCGGCTCAAAACCGTACACTGGAATTGATTCAGTGGTGGGTACTGCAGCTGGCACCGGTGTTATCAGGGATTGAGGAGTCTGTCCATGCACTCCTGATGATACCAGTGCTCTAAGCTGAGCTTCTTGTACGTCGATGCCATATTTCGTGTAAGAGCCTTTCTGTCCGCGAACGATGTAGCGGAGTTGAGGGGATCGAGCGGAGAGGGGATGACTGCGGAGGATGGCAGTGAATCGGTATGGAAGGGCGGAGCCTGCGGGGTAGTGCATATATATTGTAAACTGCATACCGTATAGTTCTGTCAGTGCTTAGTTGGCCTTCAAGTAGGGTAGACTCACATTATCATCTACATCTGGATGACCAATACCTCGTAGATTGGATGCAAATGCGGTAATACTTGTCGGTCGACCAAAGAGAACGAGGGTTTGGTCGATTAGATGAGAGCCAAGGTCGTAGATCAGACCAGCAGCTGGACGAGGCTCGTCTTTCCACGATCCTTTGAGCCCAAGACGATATCTGTCATAGCTAAACAAGACTTAATACAGATTTACCTACGGAGTTACCTCCCTTACTGGGACTCGAATTCGATAACAGTGCCCAGACTAAGTGGATCCGTCTCTGGCAGATCTAGCAACTTCTTCAACGCAAGATAATCCTGATTCCATCTGGCATTCTGGTAAGCATACAACACTTTCCCTTTAGCTTTAGCGAGCTCTCCAAGTTCCTTTGCTTCCTTTACTGTCGGCGTAACTGGTTTATCGACTAGAACATGCTTTCCCGCTTCTAAAGCAGCTTTCGCCAATGCGTAGTGAGTGTCGTTGGGTGTTCCAATCAAGACTAGTCCGATTTCGGCAGTCAGATAGGACTTGTTCGAGGTTTGTGTAGAGTTTTACTTGTTTGAGATTGAATCGGTCGCAGACAGTTCCGGTAGGAGTGCGAGGATTGCGTTCGAGGACACTGTGCAGTGTGAAGAGATCGGGTAGGGCTAGAATAAAGGGGACATGAAAGGTAAGTGTAGCTAGTCCGGCGCCGATAGCGCAACACTTGATTGTCTCCATCGTAGTTGAAGAGAGAGAAGCAAGAATACAAATTATACAAGTCCGTCCGGATATGTGTAGTTGTATAGCTCTGTTTGAATCAAGCCGGCGCGGCGCAATGGTGGCGCGTAGCTTTCCTATACAATATTTGGAAGTCGCCAAGGCTGAAGTTGCGGATTCGATTCTCGAGTTGGCTTTACGAGACTGCTGCGGTAGTTTATTATTTTTTTGGTGAATTTTTCCCTGATGTTGGAGTAGTACTCCGTACACTAAGCCACGCTTTGGCATTTCCTTTTTCAATACTTATTATTTATCCGGTCTCACCGTTTCACGGCTTGCGTACCTATGTCGAGCATACAATCGACTTATACTTGGCAAACCGTTATTTACTCCCTCAGTTGAACCATCACATTGGACACCAACTGAGGTGAATCATTTCCTATTTCTACTTGTGGTGTCAATACTTACTTACTTACTTTACCTAGTTTATATCGACCTAACAGGTAAAGTAGTTGAACCGTCACTTTGGACACCAACTGAGTTTATCGACCTAACATCTGACAGTTTAACTGTCTCCAATAAAATGAGTTCAATAACTATTATTACACATTCCAACCCAGCCGGTTCATTCAGGCTATATACTTATCAAACCTGAGAGAACACTTGTCAGTCAAAGGCTCCCTATCCCAATCAACGCGGGACCTCCACAGTCCTTCCTTCCCTCGCACTCTGCTTCGCAAGCTCAATCATCTCAATAACCGCAGTCGCTTCTTCCCATTTAACTGCCATCTCGCCTCCCTCCCTAATCGCAGCCGCCAGATTCCGATACAAATCTGTATAACACCCTGGCTCAGTCGAAGGCCAGACCGATGTTACAATAGCAGACCCATTGGGATCACTAGCATGCTGTAGCGTACCCCAACGCTCTTCCTGCTCGAAACCATACACTGGAATCGATTGAGCGACGGGTAGTACTGGTACTGGTGTGATCAGAGATTGAGGAGTCTGTCCCTGCACTCCCGATGATACCAGTGCTTTAAGCTGATCTTCTTGAACGTCGATGCCGTATTTCGTGTAAGAGCCTTTCTGTCCGCGAACGAGGAAGCGGAGTTGAGGGGATTGAGCGGAGAGAGGATGAGCACGGAGGATGGCAGTAAATCGGTAAGGGAGGGCGGAGCCTGCAGGGTAGTGCATATAGATTCGTAAACTGTATACCGTATAGTTCTGTCAGTACTTGGTTGGCCTTCAAGTGGGTAGACTCACATTATCATCTACATCTGGATGACCAACACCTCGTAGATTGGATGCAAATGCGGTAATACTTGTCGGTCGACCAAAGAGAGCGAGAGTCTGGTCAATTAGATGAGAGCCAAGATCGTAGATCAGACCAGCAGCAGGACGAGGCTCGTCTTTCCACGATCCTTTGAGCCCAAGACGATATCTGTCAAAGCTAAATAGTAAACGAGAGTTAGTAAAGATTTACCTATGTAGTTACCTTCCTTACTGGGACTCGAATTCGATAACAGTGCCCAAACTGAGTGGATCCGTCTCTGGCAGATCTAGCAACTTCTTCAACGCAAGATAGTCCTGATCCCATCTTCGATTCTGAAAAGCATACAACACTTTCCCTTTAGCCTTCGCGAGCTCTCCAAGCTCCTTCGCTTCCTTCACTGTCGGTGTAACTGGTTTATCGACTAGAACATGTTTTCCCGCTTCTAAAGTAGCTTTCGCCAATGCGTAGTGAGTATCGTTGGGTGTTCCAATCAAGACTAGTTCGATTTCGGTGTCGGATAAAACTTGCTCGAGGTTTGTGTAAAGTTTTACTTGTTTGAGATTGAATCGGTCACAGACAGTTCCGGTGGGAGTGCGAGGATTGCGTTCGAGGACACTGTGCAGTGTGAAGAGATCGGGTAGGGCTAGAATGAAGGGGACATGAAAGGTAAGTGTAGCTAGTCCGGCGCCGATAGCGCAACACTTGATTGTCTCCATCGTAGTTGAAGAGAGAGAAGCAAGAATACAAATTATACAAGTCCTTTGGATATGTGTAGTTGTATAGTTCTAATTGGGTCAAGCCGGCGTGGCGCAATGGTAGCGCGTAGCTTTCCTATGATGTATGAAGTCTTAAAGGAAAGGCTGAAGTTGCGGGTTCGATCCCCGTCGTCGGTTGTAACAGGTTTGCAATCAGACTATGAGTTTCTCGCTTTTTTAGGTTTTATTCACTTTTCTTAGGTGGATTTTTTCTTGACAACGTATTTCCTGTCTTCAAAAATGAAGCCCATATCAATACTAGGAAATACAGTATAAGTGCTACCCGCTTACGCGTCACGCGTGTCTTGAATATTTCTATCTGCGACGATCACGATGGCCAATATTCTCGATGCTTCTGCGCTAATCTCCCTTATACCTACTCTTCTTTCTCCCTCGGACAAACCGCTAAAGTCACCCCAGGATGCTTTAGCAGTCCTCTCTCATGCGATATTATCAGCTTTGGCATTTCGCTTGATTGCTGTGGATGATTCATCATCCAGCTCTCATGCTTCCACAAATTCTCTTCCAGCTGAATGGAATAGCCATGGACCAGGCAGCTACACATTCCGATACAAACACGATCAGAGTAGCCTTGGAATACATCATCAAAGTCTCCAAACTTGGTTCTCGTACTCTAATCAATGCCATCGCAGTCGAAGTACGTATAAATCCTAGCATAATCCTGTACAATTGCTAATAAATAGCTTAGAATGACAAAGCAACGTCTTTAGATATATCCACCGCCGACTTTACCTCCCCATCTGCGTTCCCGTACGATGCAGGAGCCACTGAGACACCTTTGGTGCACTGCTACATCTCCTCCAATCGAGTTGCAGACTTTGTATCCCAGTTCAAGCTGAAGATTATACAGAAGCTTGTCCCTGGTCTACGCAAAGATGGATACAGTGAGGATATCGATGTCGAGACTACATCCTCGACGTCTACTAACAACAATAATTATCAACCACCTGCTGTACCCAGAGTCCCACCCACAATCCCTCGCTACAATCCAGATGATGAATTCCCCTTGCGAATTCCCCGTAATCCTCTCGAGATTGGCCGACGGGATCTCGATCCTGTACCTGGAGGCTCGTTCCAGCCCCCGCCTCTGTTCCCGTCTTCTGGAGGTGATGGAATGTTTGTCGGACCGAATCATCCGATCTTTGGAGGGAGGGGATCGCAAGGTATACCTGGAAATCGGGGACCTTGGGGCGGTGATGGGTATTTACCTCCCATGGGTGCGCCTCCGGGTGCTCGTTTTGATCCTGTTGGTCCTGGGTTTGGAGGGCCGGGTATTGGGCCTTTCCCCGGTAATCTTGGGCCTAGGAGAGGCAATCTTCCTGGACAAGGTGATCCAGATAATGATGAGTTTATGCCTCCCGGAGCGGTATGTTTCTGCCTCTATATTTGAGTCTATACTGATCCACAATCAATGCAGGGGGATATGTACATGTAAGCATGATGTGCTACAAAAATGTGTCAAAGGTAGGTATTTCGTAGGTATCTCGACTGTATCGACTGTAAATGTAAAAGTTTGTTGTAACTTTCTTATGTGCCAACGGTGGGTGGAACAAACATTCTGTGTACCGTTGTAGGCGATGCATCGTATGTACATGTACAGAACTGAGAAAATGTAGTTTCGTGAGGAAATCCAGCCATGACTGCGCCAGACTCAGCTCTGGTCCACCGGTCGGTCACCAGGTGCTAGAAACCCAAAAATGGAATGATCCTTGTCACGCTTCCGGTTCCCGAAATCATATAAATACAAGCTCGAGTTTTGGTCCCCCAACTTGAACCACCTACATATACCGCGATAGAAAATGTCCTCTCCACCAACAAGTCCATCCTCACACAGATCAGGCTCACGCTCGCCTTCACAACGGCGGCGGAACAGCAAATCAAATATTCCTCCGGGATTCTTGCCTCTCCCAAACCCAAAGCACCACGGATCTCGGAAATGTCTGTATGGGAGCTGCAAGATATGTATGATAGGAATGCTAGGATCTTGGCTTCGACGTGAGTGTGTTTTCTACAAGTTCAATCTCACTCACTCACTGGTGGCGCTCAGCCAAGGCAATTCATCAAGATACGTAGAACGAATAACAGCTGAACAAGCTGCGATCCAAACACAACTAGTCGAAGTTCATGGAATGGAAGTTATCAATACTGGTTTGCGAAATACCAGAATTGTTGATGATGAGGAGGAGGATGTTGAAATAAAATCGGAACCGCCGATGAGCAAGGCAATAGATGCAAAGCAGAGGGCGTTGGCGAAATTCGTGAGTTGGACGGTTGTTCTTATCCATCATCGACTCGTTTACTTACTTGTTTATTTACTTGCTAGGGTACTACTGCGAGTCCATCACATATCGGAGTGCTCGGTTTAAACGAGGCCATCGAAATCGAACGACGCGCCCATGCTCATGATTTGGAGCGCAAACAACGCATGGAGGAGAGACGGCAGCGTCATGGGTATCCCATGCAAAACGAAGTCATGTCGAAACAAGAGAGGGAAGCGAGAATATGGGCATTCATGTACGTCCTTACACTCAGTGTTCAATAATGTTATTTACTCACTTCCGTGCAGGAATTACAAACCGACCGAATCCGATCTCGAGGATGAAGAAGACGACGACGAGGAAGATGACCCCGCAGAATGGTTTGAGGATGATCAAGACGACGGTCGAAAGGGCCAGGACATTATCGAGCCCGATGAGGAGGACTCCAGCCTCTCCAACATCATTCGCGTCGTCGAACCAAACCAAATGCATTATAGCACATTCTACGAGCCCAGGGATGCAGATTGATGACGAAAAGCTTTTGTTCGGAAATTCACAAATGTACTTAATAGGGTTTTAACGAAATGCATGCACTGGGGATTGGGTTCGAAAGCATGAAAGAAAGCATGTATTCATAGCATTTTTAACGTCAGAAAATGTTTTGTTACTAACGAGCATGAACAGGACAGGCTTTGCCCCGTTGAAGCCACGAAGACAGACAGGCTGAATGGACACGGTGTCAGCGAACAAACATTGATGATGGGAATTGGTTGGAGACTTGCCATTATGGAAGCTACAGAAACAACTCAGTCGTGCCACCGTAGAGCCTGCGTTGAAAGGGTAAGGAAGAATATCCCTAGTGGAAAATGCACTCTTACCTTTCGCAAACTCCTCTAGGCAGATCACACCTACGGAGAGAACGCGATTAGCAGGGTTTACTATGATGAAACGAAATCAGCACACATTCAACGCCGATAAGAGAACTCTCTGCCGGAAGTCGATAGACCAAGTATTTTGCAGCTTGTTGTGTGGCCCCCGATCCTCCCTCTAAACAGTTTTTGACATGAGCCTCTTGTTCGGCGGCGTGTCCGACCTGTTCAAGGTTGCTATTACAGACCGGGCACCTGTCGATGAGTCAGTAAAACACCAAGCAGGAGAGATACATGGAAGTGACATACTCTGCGAGGTCGCTCAATTGGGAACTGGACTGTCTCCTCGACAAGTGTGTGGGTATTGATAATCGCTCTTGATCGATAAATACGCGTTCCATAGAAGTAGCCCGTATTCCTTGGACTACATTGGGTACCGTACCATTTACTTCTTCGAAACAATTTTGGCAGACACGCTGTGAGCTTGAAGAAGCACCCGCTTCAGGGAAGCCAGGTTCATGAACAACATCGGAAGGGTCAAGGAGTGCTCTATAAGAAGAACATCTGTCGCAGAAGATTTTACCACAGCGTCGACAGTGCTAATAAGATTATGAGCGATAGTAACCGAATGAGGGGAGCGAAAGACCTACATGCTACACGAAAGTGTTAGTAACGTCGACAATGAGACAATAGAAAATGCACTGACTCTGCGAGTGATAAAGTTGAACCTTCGTTCGCATTCACGACACTGACTCACGTCTTCATCCTTCTCCCACCGATGTATTTGATGCGGACTCGGTGCAGTCCAGCGAGCGACTTTCTGAGGAGCTTCATGAGTGGGGACATCGAAATCTGGTGACTGCGAAAGTTGTGGAGTAAGGTCTGTCAGTGTTCGATGTGATTCAGGTCGACTAAAGTAGCCAGTCGAAGAACTGGATCGAGATGAGGGACGTATACTGTCTGACGGGGACATTGGATAACGGAACTCTTCCTCGTCGTCGTCATCATCATCAATCTCTTCGTCTGTAAGCGAATATATCGTCAGCGGGCATAACAATCAACGCCAAGCAAATCTTATCTTACCTTCTCCAGTTATGACTAGGCCCTGCGCTTCAGCAGCAACTTTCTGCCGCTCTAGCTCTCGACTGTAGGCATTTAAAAGTACTTCTGCCTGAGTCTTTCGCTCCAAATCGTTGTCCCCTGGAAAGATTTCTGTTGAATGGATCTTTCTGTTGAAAGAAGATGGCTAACCTGATATTCCTTGCCGTAACTCCATAGTAGCGCGCTCAAGCTTGGCTATAGCACGACGAGCATCGACAGATGACAGGGTCCCATTAGAAGAGTCAGCTCCTACAAGGTATCGAGCTCTCCCAACGTAGTCTTGAGCCCTGGAGAAGAAGGTTGCAGAGACCGCGCTTAATTCTTGTCCCTCTTCATCAGCAAACGCAGACGAGTTTTCCGAGTATCGGATGAGGCTACCATCGGATTCAATGTGGTACATTCCGCCGTCAGGGAAAAGATACGGAAGGGGAGCAATGTCAAGTCTACGGCGCATAACCCTCACCCATCTACGCCTTCGAACCCAGCCGGAGGGAGAAACACGGTTCGAGCCAGAAGCCGACCTCCTTGACGAAGATCCGCTGAGACTCGGCGAGAGCGTCATACCGCCAGTCAGTAAACGCTCCAACTGGGGGTGCATTTCCGCTGTCCACTGGTCGTCTGCATCACCAAACTGCCGAGAGTATTGCCAACCTTCTTCTGCATCTACTCCAGGATGTGTAACATCCAGAGTCCAGTCCGAGCTGGAAAATATTTTCATGAGACTACGACAAATCAAAAACACAGCGTGGACCTACAGCCAGAAATGACTTCGTTCTGCGCCCTCTAGATGAGTAGAGCCAGGCCGCGGTAACGTCCAAGGGCTATCTCGCAAAGGCAGCTGGACATCGCTACGCCAAGCCGATATAATTTCATTCCCAGGTTGTTGGTC